CCTGCTACAGTGTAGCCTCTCCCAGAATGGCACCCCCCACACCCTGTTGCCCAGCCCCAATGTAGAAAGCACCCATTTTCTCCCCCTTCCTCAGCCCTCTCCCTATGTTCACTTAGCCCCCAAGTAGAAGCTGCCCACTAAATCTCTCCTGAACCTATATACTTCTCCCCACCACTCCCTGCCCTCTTCCAGCCACCACCTACTGTCCCTGGACAACCCTGTGGCCTCCTCAGGACCACCTGTTCCCAGTCTTGCTAATGGCAGGTTCATTCTCTCTACTGAAGTGACAGTGAGCTTATTTGCTCTCTTATTTTTTGATGTTAGGTCTATAATATTTGAAACATAAAATTCCAAAATAATGTAATGAATGCCCATGTACCTGTCACCCAACTTTAACCTCATCTTTTGATCATAATTCAATTCTATATTTTTAAAAGAAAAAACATTAAAGGTAGAGCTGAAGCTCCCTCCCAAAGTTCATCCCTCCTAGAAGTCAACTGTGGTCCATCCTGAATTTGCTCTTCATTGTCCCCGTGCCTGACTACACCCTCGCTATGTTCCAGGTAGACACCACATGTAGTACGGGCAGACTTCCAGCCTGATGCAACCTGTGTACTCTGTTTTGTTCCACACCTTGTTCTGTGGGCTCACCACTGTGCTTTGGATGCACATGGCTCCAGTCCTGACGTTCTCACTGTTATTTATAGCACACAGTATACTGTATGAACATGCCACAATCTAGAGACCTGGTCACCTGGTGATAGACACTGTTTCTAGTTTTTTGCTCTTTCAGACAAAGCCTCAGTACACATTCCTAGTGCCCACTTTTTGTCCCCAGAACAGAGTCGTTGCCAGGGTGAAGGACCTTTCCCTGGCTCCCCAATGCAGAAGTTCAGTTCAAAGCCCTGCACAGACCATGAGGTCTCTCTTTGCCTCATGTTTGATTTTGTTTTTGTTTTGTTTTTTTTGGCTTATAAATAACATTTATTTCTCACAATTCTACAGACTAGAAAGGCCAAGACCAAGATTCCTATAGATTCTGTTTCTGATGAGAGTCAGCTTCCTAGTTCATAGATGGCCCTCTCTTCCCTGTGTTTTCACATGGTGGGAGCTACCTCGTGTTCTTACTGCACTGAATGTCATGCCTCAAGCCCACTAGATGTCTGGAATACTCGACCTCCCTTTTTTTTTTTTTTGCCACTCTATCTTCCTGACTTACCTAGCTAATTCCTATTCATGCCTGAAGTCCACCTGAAATCTGTTAGAAGGTCTGTCTGATCCTTAGTCCATATCAGTGTCCCCCAACTCCCTTACTGTGTGCTTCCCCCATCAGTCTCCCATCAGGACATTCGGTACTATAGGTACTCCTTTTTAAAAAATTTTTCTTTATTTATATGAGAGAGAGAGGAAGGGAGAGGGAGAGAGAGAAACATCAGTGAGAGAGAACATCAATTGGTCACCTCCTACATATCCCCCAGTGGGGATCAACCACTGAGCCACACCGGCTGGGCTACAGGTACTTCTATTTAATGACCATCTTCCCTATGGGTGTGAGTTTCAATAGGGAAGAGCCACTTCTACCCATTCACTGCCATATTCCCAAAGGCCTGACTCAACAGACTTAGGGAATGAGTGAAAGAATGAATGGAATGACACATCTTCATGTATTCTTTCCACCAGCACATTTTTCCTAAGTAAGTTTATATTGAAGTATAATTTACAAGAATTTTGCCAATAAAGATATAGAATAATTCTGTCCTCCCCCCCCCACCCCCGAATTCCCTCATGCCTCTTTGTAGTCAGCTCTTGCCCCTTACTCCTAGCAACCACTGATATTTTCTGTCCCTGCAGTTTTACCTTTTCTAGAATGTCATCTAAATGGTATCATGCACGTCCTGGCCGGTTTGGCTCAGCAAGTAGAGCTTCAGCCCACAGACCAAAGAGTCATGGCTTTGATTCCAGTCAAGGGCACGTACCTCAGTTGTAGTTCGGTCCCTGGCTCTGGTCGGTGTCGTGTGGGAGGCAACCAATCAGTATGTCTTTCTGATATCAGTGCCTCTCTCCCTCCCTCCCTCTCCCTCTTTCTCCCTCTCTCCTCTCTTCCTCCCACTCTGTCTGAAGATGAATGAAAAAAATATCCTCAGGTTAGGATTAAAAATAAAATAAAAAATAAATGGTATCATACACGATTTAGCCTTTGAGTCTATCACCAGCATCTCGTTGTGTAAGACACTGTGGAACAAATAGCAGTAAATCATGAGGAGATTTGTGTTGAATATTAGGGACCTCTATGTAAACAATTACATTTCATGACTGCTCTTTTTCTTAACATCAAATTTAGATTGTGTTTCTTAGCAGCAACTATGTGGCAGGTTTGTTCCTCACTACAGCCCTGTCTGCATTTTTCAGACAAGGAGACCAGGATGTCCCAAGAAGTGAAGAATCATATTCAAGTTAACATAGCTGTCCCAGAGAGGTAGCTTTCACCCCCAAGCTCAGTGCCTTAATGCCAAGCCCAGGACTCTTTTTTTTTTTTCTTAATTATTTTTAAGCACATGGAGTGAATTTTTAAAAAGTATTGTTTTAATCAGAGGGTTCCATTTGCTAATTTTTAGGAGGGTAAGTAATATTTCTTCTATTCTGTTGAGTTATGTTTCTTGTCCTGTGACAATGGTGAGTCTGACAGGCAAGCACCTGTCCTCCCCACACTGAAGGGCCCAGCGGCCTTGGCAGGGGCTGTGGAGCTCGTTGACGGGTTTGGTTTTGTGGTGCCGGTCCTGCTGCAGGAGCTGTGTGCTTACTGGAAATAGCTTTCTAAAGAATGACTCTTTCTTTCCAACATGATGTTCGGGCATGTGGATTCCTTGGTATCTCTAGTGGATCCGTTTGCTGTTTAAGCTGTCTCTGCCTGTCCAAAAACATGGCCCAGATTCTGCTTTCTGTGACCTGAGACTGGCATCTTTGGGCACATGTGTCTGTCAATAATTGTCCCCCAGAAAGTGCACTCAGCTTCAAGTCGTCTGTTACATTTCAGACAGACTCAGAGTGGAGGTGCAGATACAAGCTGCCCCAGTACATTTCAAAGCCCACGTGGGGTTTTGATTTTGGGGGGTTGCATTTGTCCATAGCCATGATCTGGAGTACTGAGGGACACTGGTCACATGTGGTGAGTGCCTCTGTTCTCTTTAGGGTTCTTTGTGGCAAAAATGCATGTGAGCGGCTTGCTGAGGGTGCCTGGAAGAAGGGAATGCACTGCCGATGAGTTATTCCGGGAGCTCTGCCTCAGCCAGCACCCAGAACTAAATGGGGAGAGCACCAGGGCAGCAGCACCATGCTGTTTGTTAGCCAGGCAGCCATGATTTTGACCTTGCAGTAGGTTAAAGGACACAAACCTGAGAAGAAATCTGTTTATCATGTGGGGAATTCATGCCATCCTTGACAGTATACAGTGAGCAAGATGGATGATCTGCCAAATTGGTCCCTCGCATGGGTGAATCAGGGCAAATTTACAGTGCAATTCCTTTGCTGCTTCAGATACAAAAATAACATTTGCTAGGTTTTACATCCAGTTGTCTGATGACCTGGAGGTGAGCAGAGAGAAGAAATCTGATTTGTAGGATTCGTATTGCCTTAAAGATTTATATGGACCATTTCTGTCATTACGTCTGCTTCTTTTACATCTGTCACAAACCAGTGTTGTTTTTTAACCTTATTTTCCAGGTTGAGGGCACAGGTTTATGTGCTGGTAGAACTTTGTACCAGTCTAGAACAATAAGCAGATTTGTTGTTTGAATTGCAGTTGTTTTATTTGGAATTTTATCTTTCTAAGTATTTATACAAAATATCCCTGGTATTTGGAATACATTTTTTATTCTTTTGAGTGCAGAATAGGTTGCTATCTTGGATATAATATGTCCAGCAAAAGCACACTCCAGTTATATCGTCAACTGTAATTCATTTATTACTTGGTGTAACATTTTGTTTCGTGAGGTAGTGAGCATTTGGGGGCTTATGTTCACTGAGTGGCCTGACCTCATGAGGTATCATTTCTCTGCGACCATAGTGCCCATGTGACAGTGCATGGCCTGGCCCCTCCCATGTGGTACTGTGGGGTCTCACCCTGTGCCATGCTCGGTAGGGCTGGGGGAAGAAAACGTGCCAAGACACGGAGCCAAAGGCAGATTTTTACCTTGTAAGACTGTGATGTAATGTCACTTCATAGTTTCCTCCTGGACACAGTCTTTCTCTATTTTTGAAATTAGGGAATGGCCAAAGCCTTTATTCCAGACATCCAAAAATAAATGTTGGCTGTTACAAGTGATCTTAGTAGAGAGGCCAGATGGGACCACCCACCAACAGAGCACGGGGTGGCATTCCCCACTGGGCACACGTATAACAAGATGAGGCCCTTCTGAAGAAAGGAGTGCATAGAGACCTGACTGCCCACACTGGCCCCATCTCTTCTGGTGTTGGTGGCAGCATGGCACAGAGAGAGCTTGGTTTTCAGAAGCACCTCCTGTGGTTTGACAGAGAGCAGAGCAGGTGCTCCTCTTCTGTCAGTTCCCTCCAGACTAGGTGCTGTGGAAACTTCTGGGGTCCTGAGAGACAGCCCTGGGCTGCCAGGTGCCAGCATGGGGCTTTAGGTCTCCTCGTCAAGGGTTATCACTGTGGTGACCACACATCATGAGCAGCCCTCATTTACAGTAATATGTCCAGCCTAGCCAGTGTGCTCAGTGGCTTGAGCATCATCCTGTGGACTCTGAGAGGTCACAGTTCAATTCCCCAGTAGGGGGCGTGCTTTTATTTTATTTTTTTAATAGCAAAAATGAGTGGTTACTCTCAATCAAAAAACTATAAAACAATTCACATAGATTCACAGACTGCCATGCTATATGCCTCTTATACAGGGCGTTGACCTACTATCCTAGGTAAGGAAAGTAGATGTACATGATAAAAGATGGCTATTTTCAGCCTTGGTATTCTGTGTGCTTTAATTACAGAAAGCACGCCAAAGACCTCTGCCAGCTGCAGCCCTGCACCCGAATCACCAATGAGCTCTAGTGAATCCGTGAAGAGTTTGACCGAACTGGTCCAGCAGCCCTGTCCCCCCATTGAAACGAGTAAGGATGGCAAACCACCAGAACCCAGCGACCCACCTGCTTCAGACTCCCAGCCCAGCACCCCACTGCCTCTCTCTGGACACTCAGCCCTCAGCATTCAAGAGCTGGTAGCCATGTCTCCAGAGCTGGACACCTATGGTATAACCAAGAGGGTCAAAGAAGTGCTGACTGACAACAACCTTGGTGAGTTCCCTCCCAAGCTACTAAGCCAAGCGGTTGCAGATCACTTCCTGTTGGATTTCTTAGGAAGAACGGGTAGAGGGGCCTCTGACTGAGCCAGCCAAAGGTTTTAAACGTTCACAAAACATCCCATAGTTGTAAACACTAGGGCTCATAAGGGTGCTAGAGTTCTACAGGTCAATCCCAGCTGAGTCTACTCTGAGACCTTAAACAATATGCATTCGGGATTGGAGCCTACTCAGACTGCCCATTGCGACCACCCTGGTTGGAGCATGCCCAGTAGTGCTCCAAATCCTTGTGGGCACCAGTACTGGGCAGGATCAGCGTCAGCGCAGCAGCATCCAGATGGCGCAGTGGAAGAGTCTGACAGACGGGGTTCAAATCCTAACTCTCCTGCTTACTGTCTGGGATGCTGAGCAAGCTACTCTCTCAGCCTACCATGGGGTTGTGAGTAGCAGCCAATGCTGGCACTCTGCCTGGCAGCTAATGGTCTATTATTGTCATCCCTGCTGCCTCATGAAGCCAGCTCCATTCCCCAGGCCTCCACTGGGTTTCACACTCAGGCCATTTGCCCCAAAAGTGCCACAGCCTCTGGTGCTCTACCTGAGGGGGCTGTCACTGAGGGCTCTGTGGCACCACTGATCAGTGGCTGCAGCAGTAAGAACATTAGGATGGCCCTGGCCCGGTGGAGCGTTGCCCCATGTACCAAAGGGTTGCAGATTCAATTCCCCGTCAGGGTACATACCTAGGTTGTGCTCACAGAAGACAACTGATTGATGTTTGTCTGTCTGTCTGTCTCTCTCCCTCTCCCTCCCTCCCCCCCTTCTTCTCTCTCTAAAAATCAATAAAAACATATCCGTGGGTGAGAATATTGACCAAGCGGGGTTCTCCTGGTTTAGACATCCAGAGAATGGAAACAGCCACTCCCCAAATATTTATGACCTTCTTATTGCCTGGGTGTGAAAGTCATTAAAAGAGCATTGTTCTCTGTGATGTATATTAAGATGACCCCAAAGAATTATTGAAATTTGCCCAGTACCTTCAGGAGGGTCCCTGGTACCTGTTTTCCCCAGGGGATAGGAAAAGAAAGGAGTAGCAATGAAGTGAGTTCCAGAAAAGTTTGCATAGTGACCTCACAGCCTGGAGGTTAGGCCAGCTTGTCTGCTTGAAGCCTTCTCGCTAACTGCTTGTGCAAAACAGAACAAGAGAAAAGTAATATCCACTGAGAACATTTTTTAAAATACATTTTTATTGATTTTTTTCTTAGAAAGAGAGAGAGAGACATCGATGTGAGAGAGAAACATTGATCGGCTGCCTTCTGCATGCCCCATACTGGGGATCGAGTCCACAGCCCGGGCATGTACCCTGACCTGGAATCAAACCAGGACCTCTCAGTCCATGGGACAATGCTCAATCCACCGAGCCATACCAGCCGAGCCACTGAGAACATTTTTAATTAATTCAGAAAAATAAAAATCTAGCTGTTGACTCTTAAAGATGGCTAAGTCCCATATGTTCTTCAATTACTAAAATGTTCAGGGATTCCTAGACTTGTGTCATCCCCTACTTTACACCTATGACAAGTCCAAGGGAGCAGGCCAGATCTATTATTGCTGCCCACTCCCTCATAGGAAGTATTTTATATAAATGTTGAAAATGAGCTGAAGAAAACTCCCATTTTCAAACACTGATAAGTTGCAAGATCATAACTATGAGACGTTGAACCTTAAAATCTTATCCGTGGCCTTCCCATTCATGTCCCCATCGGTGGCGTAGGTGTAGCTGATGACATTCACGTGCAGCCACAGCAGAACCCCACTGGTTTGTGGAACTTTGTTTTCAAATGCTGTGGAGCACGAATCAGTGCTCTGAGGGGTTAAACTCTTCACCCCAGACAGATAACGTATGCCTCTGAGCAGGAACTTCCAGGGGCTCCACAGCAGCATCACCCTTGTCTTAGAGATGAGAAGCAGGCTTCACGGTTACTCTCACTGGTCTTAGCTTCTTCAGGAAAGGTGCTGCTCCCCTATTGGAGTCTCTTAGTGGATTAATGAACATAGAGGGAGCCAAATTACAGCTGAATTAGGCAGCAAAGATAACCCTTAATTGAGACTCAACTAAGGCAGTCTCTTAACCTTTGGCCTGGGATCTTAGAGTATTCATGTGTCAGTCTCTTGAAATTATATGCAGAATGTGTACGTGCACATTTCATCAGGCGAGGGTCTGTACCTTTCTTCAGGTTCTCAAATAGGTCTGTGACCCAAAAACAATTGAGAGTCACTGCTATGAAACCTCTAGAAGTAATACAAATAATTTTCCAAGAATAATCACTTGATTTCTCCCCATACAACTAAGTGGATCAAGCAGATAGTAACTAGCTGCAAGCTTCTTAGAATGAAATGAGATGTTTACCAGATTAGAATTAGTAAAATTTGCCCTGGCCAGTTTGGCTCAGCGGTTAGAGCATCGGCCTGTGGTCCAGAGAGACCCGGGTTCAGTTCCCACGAAGGGCATGTACCTCGGTTGCAGTTTGTCCCCGGCCCTGGTTGGGTTGTGTGGGTGGCAGCCACTCAATGTGTCCCTTTCACGTCAATGTTTCTCTCTCTCTCTCTCTCTCTCTCTCTCTCTCTCTCTCTCTCTCTCTCTCCTTGTCTATCTGAACAAAAAATGGAAAAATGTCCTCAGGTGAGGATAAAAAAAAAAAAGAATTAGTAAAATTTATTTTAAACAACCACAACAAAAAATGGGTAAAGACTTGGGACATTTGTAGACTAAACTAAGAATCTGAAAGTCAGAGAAACCAGCCCTGGCCAGTTTGGCTCAGCAGTTGGAGTGTCCAGTCAAAGACACGCACTTCGGTTGCCGTTCGCCCCAGCCCATCTCCAGCCCTGGTCAGGTCATGCGGGAGGCAACCAATTGATACGTCTCACATTGATGTTTCTCTCTCTCTCCCCCTCCCTCCCACTGTATCTGATAATAAGTAGAAAAATATCCTCAGGTGAGGAACAAAAAAAGAAAAGCAGAGAAACCACAAGTTTGCAAAATCAGTAAATGTATCTAAGGCAGCACTCCATCATCTTCTCACAAATACCCCATGAGCACAGGTGACAGTGTTTCCCTGTCACAGATGGCGGATGTGAGGCATGGAGAGAATAGCCAGTCATCCATGGTCACCTCTGCCCCACGTATCGTGTTTCCTGCGCTTTACGGTACTAAATACTGGCTCTCTGATCCCAGTCTCCATTTCTACCTATTAAGTCCTGTTCATTTAAGTTGTCTCGTCAGGTCATTTAGGTTGTGCCTGATTCTCATTTGTACCTTTAAAAGTGGTGGCCCCTCTTAACCTGCAGCTGAATGGCTCTCAAGAGAAGAGGAATTTTCTTTTTAAGCCTCTGATGAGCATGCCACTGTGCTCTCCAGAGCGCTGTGCCCTCTGAGCAGCCTGGCGATCAGGCCACCCAGCACGGCCCCAGGAAAGGCATCAAGAAAAGGCACTTTGAGCCCTGGCCGGTTTCGCTCAGCGGTTGGAGCATTGGCCAGGGGATCAGAGAGTTCCGGGTTCGGTTCCCGCTAAGGGCACGTACCTCGGTTGCAGTTTGTCCCCAGCCCCAGTTGGGGTCACGTGGGTGGCAACCACTCCATGTGTCTCTCTCATGTCGATGTTTCTCTCTCCCTCTTCCCCCCTCTCTCTCTCCCGCTCTATCTGAAGATAAATGCAAAAATGTCCTCAATGAGGATAAAAAATAAAAAAATTTAAAAAAAAAGAAAAGGCACTTTGAGCGCCAGTCAGTAGAGGCAGCTTGAACTATGGGAACAGACTTTAGAATTGGAAACAGCCTGCTTTTCAGAAGCTGAGGAGCTCTTTCTCCTTCTCTTTCCTGCTGTGACCTTGGATCATGTGGCCTGTTTTCTCAGCAAGACCTGATAACCTTATGAATTGTGAAAGGAGTGGGTGCAGACCGCCCCGAGGTCTGAGGTTTCAGGTTATACAGGTTATACAGGAGAGATCTCCCTGTGTGCTCCTTGACCTCCTGAGCTTGGGTTTGGGATCAGCCACCTCTGATAAATGTGGCAGGTGTTGTTATCCAGGCCCCAGTTCATCCAAAGCCTGAAGGCTTTCTGAGAGAAATGTTGTGTATAAGCAAAATGCAAGAGTAAAACTGACTGTCTGCAATGGAGTTGGTCACAAGTCTGGTTGAAGAAATGCTTCTATAAAGTGCTTGCTCCAAGCCAGGACCTAGCTGACCAACTCTGGGCCTTTAAACACCATGTCTGATTTTAACCTTGACACATACTTATCCTTCCAGATCCCTGAGTCTCAGTGATGACATCTCTTTTGGTTCTGTTTTCTCTGTAGGTCAGCGCTTATTTGGGGAGACCATCTTAGGGCTCACCCAAGGCTCCGTCTCTGACCTCCTTGCTCGCCCGAAGCCCTGGCACAAGCTCAGTCTGAAGGGACGAGAGCCCTTTGTCCGAATGCAGCTATGGCTGAATGACCCCAACAACGTGGAGAAGCTGATGGACATGAAACGGATGGAAAAGAAAGGTAAGTGCCCTGGCCAGTTGCTGTCTTGTTTCTAAATGCATGGTTTCTTTTCAAGCCTTCATGTAGAGCTGATGAGGAACACTGATCCATAACCAAGGGGTTATAATACAGGGCAAAGGATTTTTTGACAGTTGTCCACCAAGGATGGGAAGATTTATGTCTTTTTCTACCTAGCAGCCTGAACTCAAGGACATTTTAGCATTGGGGTACACTTGTGACAATTCCTGGTAGCCACCCTGATGGTCAGTACACCCTTTTTCTTCTTTCAGGAAAGTAAGGCCACCAAGAAATAAGTACCACAGCAAATAGTGGTGGCTCATGTGCGTTGTTTTTTGTCTTGTTGGGTGAGTGGGATCTTACAACATTTATCGCACATGTGCCAGGGGCTTCCATATATCTTCTTGGAGAGATCATTAATAAATGCCTTTGTAGATAAGGACATTTAGATTCAGAGAAGTTAGATGCCTCCATAAGGTTGCCCAGCCTAGAAAATGGCGGAGCAAATTACTGCTGGCGTGGCGCTTCTGCTGTGACTTTGTAGTCTCAGGGATGGTAGAGGACAAGGCCTCCTGGAGGGCTCAGTGCACCGAACTGTCTGGAATGTTGATCAGCATTCTGCTTGTACCCTGGAGGCTACCACATGAGAGAAATTTTAAAGGCTTTCCTTGGTGATGGAAAGTAATGCCTATTTTCCATCTCGTGGTTTGCACTCCTACATGCTGCTTCTTGTTAGTGAGTCCTCCCCTCAGAAAGGACAGTTCTGGTCACTGACCTGCAGTACTGTGAGCTCACTCAGTGGCTGAATTCAAATACCTTAGATATGGAGATCTAGTACCAGTTGTTGGTCTGGCCATAAAAAGCTGTGACCGCCCTCCTTAAATCAGCTTTTGCAGAGGAGCTCAGCCAGAGAGTGTGCATGACAATTTACCCATGTGGCTGTACCTGGCCCCACCCCCAGCTCATATAAGCCCAGACTTGTAGCCTCTGAATTCACCAGGAGAGGCTGCTGTTCACTACCAGCCAAGCATCACTGTTCTCACTCAACCTGGGAAAAGACTAGAGTTCCAAAAAGGAGCTAGAGTCTCTTATGCCTCCCCCAGGAGCTCATGGGGCTGGCTCTGTATTTCAATAGATACTTCCAGTTCCTGAGCACCCATATGCCAGGAACTTAATCCACACAGAGACTTCACTTGGTCCACACAGCTCCATCCCATGCAGATGTCATTATCTGGGAAAGATGAGTTTCTGGCATTATGAAACTTACCTGATTTCAAGAGCTGGCATAAGTAGGGAGCAGGAATCCAAACTCGGGGTTATCAGATTCAAAGCCGGTACTCTCAGCTGTGTTCTGTGCCTTGAGCTGAGTGCCTGCCACACTGGGACCACCTGTCCAGACAGCGGCCTTCCACCTCACCGGCGGCCCTCCCCTGGGCTCCTGCCTGCCCTCAGGTGTGTAGACCAAGGCTCTGACACAGGCCACAGCCTCTCGGGCAGCTCCAGGCAGTGCTCCAAGCTCCAGAGGCCTGGTGCCACATCACCCCCCAAGTTTTTTAACTTTTTAAAAAGTATGGGAAATTTCAAATATAAAAATAGAATGATATCATGAACCCAATATATCCATCACTGAGCTTGAGCAGTTATCAGTGCTCACCCAAGCAATTTTAAGGTTTTCTGTGCTCTGTCAAAGGCAGTGCCCTCCCTCCCTGAGCTTCCTGAGTGCCGGGAGCCCCCTCATTCAGTGGCAGGTCTGATATCTGGGCAGCCCTCCCAAAAGCCACCTCCTGCACAGCCTCCTGTTGCTGCAGACACCAGCAGAAGGCGAACCCTGGTTCTAACACTCCCTGATGTATTTCTCCTCCTGAGCCAGTGGAATAGGACCTCAGCCCCTGAAATAGATCTTGGGGGGGTGGGTCGTCACTCCTTCTTCTACACAGGCTCTGGGTGCCATCTTGTGTTACAAAAGAGTTAACTGTTTCAGTGGGGCGCAGGCCCCTCCTCACATCCCAAGGTCCCTAAGTGACCGTGGCCCCACTGTCTACTCTCCCTAGTAGAGATACTCCCTAGCGGAACCTTCACCAGCCCTAGCAGGAGACCAAAGTACCTGACCCATCAGACGCAACAGGTGGCCTGGAGCACAGTACTTCCTGTGATCTCCATGGACCACTAGTCATCCGTCCAACAGGATGGGGCTGGTGGGGCAGACCAGGCTCATTTCTTTCTGGCCTCTTAACTCTATCATATTAATTGGGGGGTGGGGAGGATTGGCCTTCTCAATTATTTCCTAGTTCTAATTATAAAATGGCAAGTTAAGTAACTCCCTAGCCTAAGTGTCTGCATCTGCAAAGTGAGAATGGTAACATTAACCTATTCAGGTTGTGAGGATCAGAAAGAATGTACCCAGTAAATAACCAGTACACATAAGTGCTCAGTAAATGATAGTTATTAAAATAATTTGTATTCCTTTAAAGTTAATGAAAATAAGTTTTGCTACCAGTCTAGCCTAGATTAAAAATTTTACACCAGGTAATCCAGACTAGGATTCACATATACACCATGCTTCCTTCTCTTCCATAAAGCTTTTGCTTCTCCCTTTAGCTCAAATCTTTTATTGCTTCCCCTTCCGTCCTTCCTCCCACCCTCCCTCCCTCCTCTCCTCTCTTTCTTCCTTCTAAACCTTGCTCTACCCCAGTCTGCCTTCTGCTTCTTGTTCCCCTCATGAGATGGCCTTTGACACACACATGCATCCTCTGCTAGCTCATGGGCGAGGCTGCTCTACCTGAGGCTACAGATGCACCCTGACAGTCCATAGTCTACTCCTGTGACATTTGAGACCCAAATGTCGGTGCTGCTGAAGTGTGTCTCCCTGGCCTTCTGTGGCTCCCACAGACACAGCCTCGGACCCTGCTCCCATGCTAGGACCAGATGGGGCCACCATTGGGCAGGGCAGCCAGTGCTACCCAGAACAGACTTAGGTCAGACCTCAGTTCTGTCACTTCCTACCTGTGTGACCTCAGGCAAATCATTCAAACTCTCTAAGCTTCAGTTTCTTCATCTGTACAAAGGGATAATAATAGTCTCTCCCATTGTGCAAATGAGGATTAGTGATACCTTAGCTGCTGCTGCTCACACTGCCACTCTTAATACTGCTTGCCATTTGAATTAAATAAGATTATTTCTCATCTTCCATCAGTTTTAAGAAGTTTTAAAGAGTTTTCAGACTTTATTTCAAACTAGTTCACTAGAAAGATCACTATGGAGGATTCATTTGCTCAAGAAGCCTAGTGATTAGTGACGCATAACAATCAGGAGCAAACGAAGCCCCAATAACACTGATAGAACAGAGAGAACTTAAAATCCAGGCATCACCTCCCGTTAATTTTGCAGCACATCCCCAAGCGACAGTCACACGCTGGTCCCTGAGTCTTGTTGCAGCCGGCCCACTCCCCGCTCCTCCTACCCTTATTCCACAGTAAAAACACACATTACTTGCACATGTACTCCGCTCATCTCCAGCTTCTGTGTCGCCCTGTGCTCTCCTGCTGCCCCTTCCAGGGGAGGCCATGTTTCCCCCAACTCTGAGCCTATGCCAGCCACTTCTCCACTCCCGGGTTGAGCCCTGCCTCATTGAAGCTCGTCCCAGCAGCAGGCTTTACTTTTTTTTTTTTATCCTCACCCGAGGATATTCTTCCATTTTTTTGTACAGATAGAGTGGGAGGGAGAGAGAGGAAGGGAGAGAGAGAGAGAGAAACATCGACGTGAAGGGACACATCGAGTGGCTGCCACCTGCACGACCAACCAGGGCCGGGGACAAACTGCAACCAAAGTACGTGCCCTTAGCGGGAACCGAACCCAGGTCTCTCCGGACCGCAGGCCGACGCTCTAACCGCTGAGCCAAACTGGCCAGGGCAGCAGGCTTTACTTTAAGTCCCCTCCTCATCTCCATCATCTGTCAGTCTCTTGCTCACTTGCTACACTTTCTCAAGACCGTGACCCCTGGGATCAGTCTTCCTCCATACTCACACCTGCCTCATCGGGGAGAGTTTATGACCCATCTAACCCATATATCACCTAGCCTCAAGTTCTTTGACCTCCTCAACCTTTGGTGGTTCCTCAGACCTTGTTAGCACCCTCAACTACTCTACCTCTTAAAGCCTAAATTGGGGTACCCTACTCACTGACCACATTCTGCCATCCTTCCATCTTTCCATGTTTCTCTGTTCATTTCACCTGACCCAATGGCGCCCAGATATCCCCTTCCACACTTAACCCATCAATCTGCCCCCTGCTGCTTTAGCTCCTTCCCCAGACATCCCAGACTCCATGCTCCATCACTTCATTATTTTCTGGCTATGATACTCTGTCTCTCACACCATTCCTCGTCCCTCTGCAAATCCCAGCCTTGGGTTAGTACCCTGCCAGTTTTTTCCACCCATTCTTCTTGGCATCTGGGACCAGCTAGAGAATAACCCAGACCTTCATAGATTGGTGCCACCTCATATTTGTATATTCAGCTTCATTGGGGTCCTTTGTGCTTCTCTCCACCATCCCCTGCCACCATTTCCCATGATCTCACCACTCTCCAGACTCCTTTCCCATCACTTCAGATCACCTTTTCTTCTGTCTTTGTACTTAATAAAGAAAACAAAGACCATCAACTTTCCCCACTCAGTCCCTATAAATTTGTCTGTGTCTCCCCCTCGTGCACCTCCATTGATCATCTCCTCTCTTACCTATATCACCAACTTGCTTTGTTATCTCTCTCCCCTCAGCTTAGAAGCTTTTTCAGCTCTCATTTTTAAAGACCCACCCTCAATCCTAGATTTCCCTTCTAGAAGCCATCCTGTCTCTGTCTTTTCTTTTACAGTTACACTTCTTAAAATAGCAATTTATTCTCACTACCTTCACCTCCCATTCACTATTAGACCTACTGCAGTCTGGCTTCTGCTCCCACAACTCCAGTCTGTCTATTCACCAAGGTCTCCAGTTATCTCCTAACCACTGAACCCAAAGGACACCTGGGGTCCTTGTCACACTTTCCTTTCTGCAGCACTGATGTTGCCACCACCACTCTTCACTCATCCCTCTTCTCAGCCATCTCTTGGTTTTCCTCCCATCTGTTTCCTTCTTGGCTGCTTCTTCCTGGGAGTATCTTCTGTATGTGGGTGCGTTACACACTTTCGTACTCAGCCCATCTCTGTCTCACCAATGCCGTTGACTTCAACTACAATTTCTATTTCAGTGGTTCCAAATCCCCTCTCTAGCCCAGACCCTTCTTCTAAGCTTAATACCTATCTATCCAACTGCCTACAGGACATCTCAATGGCCCTGCTGGTTTGGCTCAGCGGTTAGAGGGTTGGCCCGCATACCAGAGTCCCAGGTTCGGTTCCTGCTAAGAGCACGTACTTTGGTTGCAGTTTGTCCCTGGCCCCAGTTGGGGTCATGTAGGTGACAATCAGTCGATGTGTCTCTCTCACATCAATGTTCTGCTCTATCCGAAGATAAATGCAAAAATGTCCTCGGGTGAGGATAAAAATAAAAATAATAATAATAAAAGACAGAACATCTCAATGTGATGACCCAGAGGGCACTCAAACTTTACATTTTTAAGAAAAACCATCATCTTCTCCTTTTAATGTGTTTCTTTTATGGTGCCCAACCCAAAGACCACCACTCTCGTCTCCCACACCTGAGACAGAGCCATCCTCAGCTCCCCTCTCCCTAGTCCCTCATTGAATCAGCCACAAATCCTGTCAGTTCTACACTTAACATCTCCACAATCTACCTACTTTTCTCCCAACCCCAACACTACTGCCTTATTTCAAGTCTTTATCATTCTTTCCCTCCAGTCCTCCTCCTTCCAAACTGTAGCCAGAACAGCCTTTCAGAAACATATAGCTGATCATACCATTCCCTTGATGAAAATCCTTTTGTTTCTTCCCATTGCCTTTGAGATAAAGTCCAAACTTTTGGCCTGCCCTCGCTCTGCCCATCTCCAAATGTCCAACAGCTCCTCTCCCACCACTGCCCCTTTGCGTGCACACACACACTGTACACGTTAGCCTTACCATCATGTGGCTTTGTGTCTTTGCACATGCTGTTACCACTTTCTGGAATAGCCTTCTCCCATCTTCTACATCACCTATTTTTTCTGATTAGTTCCTCTTTGTCCTTTAAGATTCAGTTTGCACATCATCTCCTGGGAATCCTTCCCTGACCCCTGCCCAGGCTGACCGGAATAATTTCCCTTGGTGTACCCCCTACTGGGGTCATCTATCTGTATCCTTCTCTATGCCCCCACTAAACTGGTAGTCATGCAGAGACTTCCCATTATAACAGAGCAGGTCCTTGGTGAGCATGTGTTAGGTTTCAGAATGATTCTAGTCCAAGTGTTTTGAGATGTTCTTGGAAGAGCAGGGCAGACCAGCCTAATGCCACGCCTACACAAAAGTATCTCGATGCAGTGGTATACCATATACCGTGGGGGTCAGGGGCTTGGGCAGATCTCACAGCGGAGCCTGCCCCTCAGTCTCATATCTCTCCCTTCCTCAGCCTATATGAAGCGGCGACACAGCTCAGTCAGCGACAGTCAGCCCTGTGAGCCCCCCTCCGTTGGCATTGACTATAGCCAAGGCGCAAGCCCCCAGCCCCAGCACCAACTGAAGAAACCCCGTGTAGTGCTGGCTCCTGACGAGAAAGAAGCTCTGAAACGAGCATATCAGCAAAAGCCATACCCGTCACCAAAAACCATCGAAGAACTCGCCACCCAGCTCAACTTGAAAACCAGCACTGTCATCAACTGGTTCCACAATTACAGGTATGATCCTGCTCTCAGCCCAGTAAATCAAGGCTTCCAGAGGACACCCTTTTAGCCCTTGGGCAGAGGTTGATCTGTACTGCAGAGTTGCCATTAATAGTACACAGGAGTGATGTTCAGTGTGCGCGCGCCCCCCCCCCAACCCCCCCCCCACCCCCAGGCATACTGAAGACTGAGAACTTAATTCTCAGTGGTTTTTTTATCCTCACCCAAGGATATTTTTCCATTTTTTGTACAGATAGAGTGGGAGGGAGAGAGAGTGAGAAACATCGATGTGAAGGGACACATCGAGTGGCTGCCACCCGCACGACCAACCAGGGCCGGGGACAAACTGCAACCGAAGTACGTGCCCTTAGCGGGAACCGAACCCGGGTCTCTCTGGACCGCAGGCCGACACTCTAACCGCTGAGCCAAACTGGCCAGGGCAGTTAGGTGGTTTTTTATGTTGGTTTATTGGTGTGTTTTTTTTCTTAATCCTCACCTGGGGATATTTTTTATTTAGCTTCAGATAGAGTGGGAGGGAGGGAGAGAGGAACATCGACGTGAGAGGTACACAACGACTGTTTGCCTCCCACACAACCTCGACCAGGGCCAGGGACGAACCCCAACCAGGGTGTATGCCCTTGATCTGAATTGAACCCAAGACTCTTTGTTCCATGGGCCGGTGCTCTAACTGCTGAGCCAAACCGGCCAGGGCTTATTGGTCTTCTTAACTCCAAAGATGGAGGGTTATATAGTTAGAGATAATCCACGACTATAAGAAGAGAAAAAATTTCCTCTAATTTATATTATTTAGTAAGGGAGAGTGTAGGTATTCATAGTTCCATAGTAGTGAACATTTCTTAAGTGACTTTTGGATGCTTTCTCAGGGTCTTTCACAGTTATTATTTTTCCAAATTAGTTTGATTAGTTTTGTAATTAAATAAATTCAGTAGTGTGAAACCCTTTCTTTTGGGAAAGTTCATGAGTTAATGAAGATTAATTGAGCATCTACTAAACTTCCAGACACTGAGCTAAGTGTTTTAACCAGCACTGTATCACTCAGTCCTCACAACAGGGAATGAATAACTTACCTGAGAAGGGAAGGGGCTGAGTACTCTCCTTGTAAAGCAAAGTAAACTGAGGTGCATGTTTGGACTAGATAATGTAAAGTCACTGAAAGATAATGACCATAGCTGTAACCAAGACTCCCTACTGTTGGAATCTAAGAATTTCCAGTGGCCTGATGGAAATTCCTGCTTGTTTCGTGTCTTGTAAGGGGCCATCTCAATTGCAAGTACTTATCAGAACAGCATTTTCTCTGGGGCTCAATAAAACTAGGTAGGTGCTCCTGTTATACCAAGGGGACAAGTACACTTGTATAGCTAGTGTGGATAGGGCCCTCAGGTTACTGGCCTGAAACAAGTAGCAGGCAATAGATCATAGACAGTCAAGGGCTAGAGGGAGGAGTTGTGCCTCTAACTGGGCCCTGCCTCATCTGATAGGTTCTGCTGGAGTAAAGGGCCCAATAAACCTCCCAGGTTCTGAACAAATTAGAAAAAATTTTTAAATACTAGATGGGAGCCAAAGTAGCACCTTTATTGCTAATAAAGGCTAAGTTAACAGATGTAGCTTAGTGTAAGAGCCAAACAGACCTACTACCTGGCCCCAGGCAGGCCTCCCCATGTTTGGGCTGACTCCCATGAGGACAAAGAAAGTACATGAACTGAGTACAAGCAGCTTAGTCATCCTAATTTACCAATCAGATAAAAACAGAGGCAAAGTGAGGCCAGCTGTTATAATAATGGAGTTACCACTATATGGAAGGAAATTTTGAAAGTAGGAGATAAGTGATGGAAGAGAACAATTAAAAATGTGGGCAAAGCCCAGCCAGTGTGGCTCAGTGGTTGAGTGTCGACCCATACACCAAGAGGTCGTTGGTTAGATTCCCGATCAGGGCACATGCCCAGGTTGTGGGGCCTTATCCCCAGTGTGGGGCATGAAGGAGACAGCTAATAAATGTTCTCTCATCATTGATGTTTCTGTCTCTCTCCCTCTCCCTTCCTCTCTCTCTCTCGTATCAATAAAGAAAAAACAATAAATAGTGCAACCCTTCCCAGCTTCCCTTGCATCTTGGACATTGTTGTTTCACCTGGGGGAAAAAAAAAGAAAGAAATGTGGGCAGGGGTTCACCAGAGCCTCTCCTTGCCAGGTGTTATGTCACCCGATTTTCACATTCTAGACACAAAGGTACATTTGAATGTGTACATTCAGGTCTTTAAGTTAGGTCCATTTTAATGCAAATATTATAACTCTGGAGAGCAGTGCATGAAACTGAAGATTACTGAATAACTGGGTAAAGGTGCATAAAATATCTCCGAACCACTGCCCCTGGTCTTGCTGGGGCCACCTTTTTCATGATTCCCCTTCATGCTTATTTTGAATATCAGTGACTGCCTCCTGGCCAGCCTACACTCTCTCCAAGTTTCTCAGCTGCTGTCACTCATCTTTCTGTCCTCCTCACCACCATGGTAATGCCCATCACATGGTGGTCGTCAAAGGGGCATTGCAGAGAAGCAAATTCACTTATATACCCTTGACAAAAATAGCGAAGGCGGAGAGAGGAAGAATAGCATTAAGGCCTCAGAACTTAGTAAATGAGCTCAGGTCTGGATCTTGAGTAAATGCTTCATAAATGTTTTCTTTCAAAAATAACTTCAAGACAAAACAGGCTGGGCTATGGGAGCAAAGGGCAGATATTAGTTTCAGCTGCAGAGATCTGGAAACATATTCTGGGAGGGTATGAGAGGTGCAGGGTCTTAAAAGAAGAACAGGAATATTATAAGCCAAAAAATAGGTCTGATAAGAAGTGAGCACCATCAGTCTATTGTGATCTTGCTTCCAGGTGTATCTTCTTTTTGGCTCAAATAAAAGAGGATTTGGCTCAAATCCTTTGTGGCCAACTTTCCCACAGGGCTTCATACAAGGGCTGGCACACAGTAGTACTCAGCACACATCACTGAATGTGTTTAATTCCTAAATGAGAAGACAGTTTCTTTCGTTCTTTCTGCAGGATTTAAACAGCAGACATTGGTTTTATTTCCTTCTGCCCCACTGGAACCCTCAAGGAATAATGTTTCAATCAGTTTTTGCCACCTTCAAAAAAAATAAAATTTTTCTTCCTCTTACCCTTTCAGAACCCTAAGGAAATTAGAAGTATCTTAGAGTGACCATTTACCTAGGAATGCAACCAGGAATGCCAGAACAACTTACCACAGAACTCCTGGTCTCCTGGAAGACCAGGTCCACCCAGTGGAAATTCTTTCGAGCCCTAAACATTCATGGTGGCCTGTGAACCTTGCATGACTTGTCTGAAAACCAGATCTCCTGGGACCCGGTCTTTCTAGACCAAAAGACAATTATTCCCCATAGACATAGAGACAGTTCTAGGCTAAGAAGGATGATATCTCATATCTGTTGAGCATAATACAGGGTGGAGAAAAAAGTAGGTTTACAGTTGTTTTTGAAAAATACTACAATAATAAATAGTACACGAATAAACTCTGTATATCATGACTCACAACTGTAAATCTACTTTTGCCCAACCCTGTATGTGCCAGACCCTGAGCCAAGAGCTTTATAGGTGTGTTATCTCATTAGATCCTTCCATCTGCAGTCGAGTGCAGTGCAGCCAGCCCGTTTTACATAGAAGGTTTTACACAATGAGCTGGTGAGGGTGGCAGCCTGGATCCCATACCCCAGGCATAAAGTTGTCCCTTCCCTCCCCCAGCCCATCTACCTCAGCCTTAGCACTTCCTCTGTCATTCAGAAGACAGCTGCATGGTAAGAATAGGCCCTTTTTTTCCCCCTACTTTGTGTCTGTATTATATATTAACATTTTATTTAATCTCCACCTCAAGCTCAAAAAGGCTAAGGAAATTTTCCAAGTTGCACAGATAGCAAGTGACAAAGCCAGATTTCAAACCCAGTTTTAAAAAGCCTGTTTTTAAAAAGCCTGTGCCCTATTCTGGGCCAGTCTGCCCCTGAGACTCGTTTAGTATTTGGTGAGCCTGTGACCTGGCTAGGACTAATCCCTAACCTCCCACCTCCCCATCCAGGGTGGGATGGGATTGGGTGTCCACCCCAACTGGCATTTTTTGGTTGCCAAGGGCCTTAAAAGCCAGTAAAGAGCAGGTAGCACCAGGGAAGGAGGAAAGTCTTTTCTTATCCCCTGGGAACTTCAAGGGGGCCTCAGGACCTCACCCTGCAACTCAGGCTCAGAAATCATCTTCAGGACAAAAGTCAGAGCTCACCCTATGCAGGGAACAAATAATGATGTAGCAGATAGCCACCACCAGCGCTGATATACTAGACTGAATTATAGCCAGATTCTCCCTGGCTGCAACAACACCTGACATAGGTCTCAAAAACCATTACCTTTATTGAGTTATATTTACCACAAAAAATATTTTCCTACATTCCTAACCCATGAGTTTTCTGCAGAACACTAGACTTGGTACTAATATACCTGAAGATGCTTTTCCACTAACAGTTGGCTTTTTCAACTCTGGCATAAACACCTAGAGAGACCTCTGATTGGGCTTAGTACTGTCAGTGTGATGGGAGGAAAAACTTTGGCACAAAAAGACTTAGTAAGAGCCCTTTCATGATGTCTCCAAGGGCTCCAAAACAGGGAAGGCCAGATTGTCTGGCCAGTCTGGCTCAGTGGATTGAGGGTCATCCCATGGACTGAGATGTCCCAGTTCGATTCCCAGTCAGGGCACATGCCCGGGTTTCAGGCTCAGTCCCCAGTGAGGGGCATGCAGGAGGCAGCTGATCGATGTTTCTCACATCCATCAGTGTTTCTTTCTCTCTCTCACCCCCCCTCTCTAAAAAATTCAATAAAAACATATTTTAAAAAAAACAACATGGAAGGCCAGGCCCCGGTTATTTCCTTCATACACAACCAAATACTGGAGTACATTTTCCACTGTCAGCTGCACTCAGCTTGATTAAAACATGCTTGATGTGTTGTTGGAGCACATGTATGGTCTCCTTTGTGCTTGATCAAAAGTGACCCTTCCCTGGTCTTCTCCTTTCAGAAGAGGACATTAGTTGAAACATAATTTGATGGAATCCCACTTCAGCTTTGAGCAGAGCCCCTGACCTGTGGCTCAGAGCTGGATGCTGAAGATTTCACTTTGGGCACTAATAACTGGTTCCCTCTCATGAAGCTCTGATGAGGAAGCAGTGGTTACTATTCATCCTGCATTTCCATTTATTCAGTCAGCATTTATTCCTGTAGACCAGTATGCACCATGCTATACTACGCCTGGGGGTGTGCAGAGTAAATGGGACCTGGCCATTCACAGCTAGTTAGAGGTGGGGTGGGATGGAGATGGAAATACCATTAGGTAAGTAACACTAGCGCTCCATCCTAGTGGAGAAGAGCTGTCATCTCAACCAAGGGACAGCTTATGCGAAGGCACAGCGTTTGGGAAACATGAAGCGGGGGCTTTGCTCGGGCCCCTGACTATGCTAGGGGCCCGGCAGTGACGGGAATGCCCCGCAGAGTAGCTCTGGCTCCGTCTGTGGGGGGCAGGAGCTTGGGGCCGCAGGCTAGGGCGGGAATCGGAGCCGGGAGGGGCGGGGCGGGGCCTGTGTCCGCGTGCGCCGCCTCACCGTGCCCTCCCTGCTTGTGTCTCCTAGGTCTCGGATCCGCAGGGAACTGTTCATTGAGGAGATTCAGGCCGGGAGCCAGGGCCAAGCCGGGGCCAGCGACTCCCCATCGGCCCGAAGCAGCCGGCCAGCGCCCAGCTCCGAGGGCAACAGCTGTGACGGCGTGGAGGCCGCCGAGGGCCCGGGCGCCGCGGACGCTGAGGAGTCGGGCGGCCCCGCGGCCGCCACCAAGTCTCAGGGAGGGCCTGCCGAGGCGGTCGCGGCCCGGGAGGAGCGAGGAGAGGAGGCGCCAGGGCCGCTGGAGAAGGCGGAGCCGCCGCCTTCGGGGACCCCAGTCCCGGAGGACGCCGAGGAGGGCCGCCCCCGGGCACCAGCGCCGCCCGAAGGTCCCGCGGACCGCCCGAGGCCCGTGCCAAACCCCGCCGCCGCCGCGCCCGCAGCCGGGGAGGACGCCGCTACCTCAGCCGCCCCGCCGGGGTTGGGCCCCTGTCGGGCCCGGGCCGGCGCCGACAGGAGTTCCGCTTTGCCAAGCACCAGCGCGCCGGCGGCCGCCCGCAGGCCCAGCTCGCTGCAGAGCCTCTTCGGCCTCCCCGAGGCGGCGGGCGCCAGGGACTCGCGCGACAACCCCTTGAGGAAGAAGAAGGCCGCGAACTTGAACAGCATAATCCACCGCCTGGAGAAGGCCGCCAGCCGCGAGGAGCCCATCGAATGGGAGTTCTGAGAGGCGCCGCCCGCCCATCGCGCCAGGCTGAGCCGGGCCGGGCCCTGCCGAGCCGGGCCGAGCCGAGCCGGCCGGGCCGGGCCGGGCCGCGCAGAGGGGCGGGCGCCGACTCCGCGGCCTGGACCGTGTTGCGCACTTACTGCCCTGCGGGCCACAGGGCAAAATCGCCATAGGCCAAGGTGCATATAGAAAACAAAGGAGCATTAAGCCCAATCTTTGTCGTGTTTTCAAGGAAGAAAACGGAAATGTGTAGTCGAGCTTTTTTGTACCCTGAAGTGTTTTTTTTATTGCCCTAAGTGATTTCCACAGGTTCTGGAATAACTCTTACAGCTTTGCCTTGCGCCCTCCTCTTTTCGTGTGGGCTTTAAAAAAAAAATCAAACCCACATATTAAAAGGGGGCTTTTTATCTGCCATCTAATGGCTTCAGAGCGATAATACACTATTATCTTCTTAAACCAGGAAAAGGGGGGGAGGGGAATTTTTCAGAAAAAGTAAAAAAGAAAGTTTTTGTAGCTGTTCAGTTGCCACTAAGAGATTGCACAGTCAAACCGACTCTAAACACACTAGTTTGGATTCCTAAATATTTTCAAGTAAAGAAGAATCTTCTCGTTTGAAACTGAATTAAAATAAAACACATTTACTCCACATATTTTTTAACAAAAAGAAAAGTCACATCAGGAAAATAACTGATTTTGTGGTAGCTGATGTAGTGTTTTCTTGTACGTGAATAGAATCCTGACATGTAGTGCACATTGATCCATAGCTTTAACTGACTCTGGGCTTTTGCTGACCAGAGTCTGTTTAATACACTCCATTCTAGGCCAAATCAGGACAAAAAGAAAAGATCCGAATCTAGGTATTTTATAATCTGCTTTTTAACCTCTAACCGCAGAGCACGCTGATCAGACCTCATATCTCGGAGGTTTAGGAGACAAGTTAGAACTGTAGCATGTACCCGTTCATTTTGTTTAATTTATGGTGTCTACGTCTGTGTTAGTGCTTCTGCACATGTGTGAGCATTTAAAGAAGGAGGAAGGAGTAGGCCACTAAGGTCGCAGCAAACGGTTCTGGGGCCCACCCCTCGTAGACAGCAGTCTTTCCTTGGCACCGAAGGCACCACACCTCACACCACTCTCCCAGGCGCCTGATGGACTGAGCCCCACCAGGGGACGCCGCTCCCTGGGCCTGGGCAGGGCTCTTGCGCACTCTCTTTTCTCTTTCTTCCCACCACAAGCACTGATGACTGTTGAAGTTGTGGGAAGCTTCCTTCCCTGCAGAAGAGAGAACGTGGCAGTCTGGGCTCTGCTCCCACCCCCGTAGAGATGGCCCAAACTGATGCCAAAACGTTGATGCTCTTCACTTTCAGACCAGACCATTGACCCTTCATTCATTTTGCCTCTTGGAACGTTCTTTTATGCAGTCTTTTACCTAGTCTTTTAGGGCAGTCTAAGTACAAATCAAAAGTCTAACTTGTCTCTGATTCCTCCTGTTGTCTATGTGTATATGCGTGAGAATAGAGGTGGATGAGAGTGTGTGTGTGTGCGTGTGTGCAATTTTATATGTCTGTGTATTTTCTTAAGTACCTGTGCACACATAGAGTGCATTACTGCCACCTTTTTTCAATAAGCTGTTTTATCAGTTATGGCTTCTACAAGTTTGCTAATTTAGACTCTTTTATTGCCATATCTTTAAACTAACAATAGATGATTTCGGTATATATATATTTTTTTTTTGCTTATTTATAGGTGCTGTATTTTATTATCTGATTGTTAGGAAGGGATGAAAGGGGCAAATATTCTTTAGAGGGATAGACTGCCGGCAGTATTGGGTATAATTTACAAGATGTAGTTGTCATACTGTATATTACTGATTGAAAACTTTTTGACCGTATTGTGTATCATTGAAACCTTTGTCTTAGGTCAACATCTTTGGATGACATTTTAATGGTGCATTCATTATTTCTTAAGTTTAATTAATATTATCTTTTTTGATTTGGGGGTGGGAGGGAGTTATAATTTTAGAGGTATGCTCCCGCTATTACACCTCAGTGTGCTTGTATTAATTAACTTGTAGGACTTTGACTGTAAGATGTGAAACCACATTTCTTGCATGATGTTTTAGAAATTATATATTTCATTTACAGTCTTTTAACCTGCAGCTGCAGCACTTAGTTCAAGTTTTCACAAATTTAAGAGTCACTACACTAAAGACAATGCCTTTTCATGAATAAGAAGTTTTTAGAAGGCTCTAGGAGGCTGTGAGGCAGGCCGTTTGTCTTTTGATGGTTGCATCATCTCTGAACTTGAAATCTGGTTCAGCAAGAAGAGAATTCAAAATGGAGGAGCTTAAGGGGAAACAGTTAACATCTGGCTCAATTCAGGTGCATTAAGAAGAGCGAGTTTGCATTAGTGACCCTTAGGACAGTGAGTAGCAGAGCCCCTGACAGTACTGTGGTGTCCTCTCCACAAAAACCTCGAGGGAATTTTGTCATCGTGTGTGATGAATCACTAAATATCTGATTATTTTCATCAGAATCAAAAGCAGGGAGTTAACAGGAAATATTAGGGTAGTGTTTTAATTTTAAAGGCATGACTGTTATTTATGGAGGTATTAAATCTGAAGGAATTGAAAAATTATAAATCTGTTCATCCTAGTGGCCAAATAGTAACAGTTGAAAACAGCCACTTTGGCTCTTCCAAGCAATTTAGTCATTTTTGTTACTGTGTTTTTTGTTTGTTTTTTTTTAACTAGGTTATTGTTGATTTCCATTCTGTCTTTTTTTGCCAGACTTACATCTGGGTGCTCGATACAATCAGTTGGTTAAATTTTGCTTGCGGTTCTGTATTTGTATTTTTTCTCTATTTATTTTTTTTTATTGCGATCCCAACCCTATGTTCTTTTGTGTTTAAGCTATCACTGTCTGTAATACTTCTAAGATCTGCCACTAAATAACAGAAACCTGTCAGCAGGGAGAAGCATCCCCCTCCTCATTGCGCCCCTCAGCTTGAGTCTAAGGGTTGATCTTTCATCTTGATATAAGCAATATTCAAGTGCCTTGAACAGCATCCTCTCCATGGGGTTTACCTTCAGCTGGCTGGCGTTCCAAGCAGTAGCTCCCACAAGCAACCGACCTCCTCCTCTTTACGCTCCATCAGTTTAAAAAGCTGATTTGTACCTCTCCCCTGGGGAAAACGGTTCCATATAAAACACTAACACTTAATTACAAGCTCCATTATACCATTTTAAATGGCTTCTTTTTGTTAATTGGAGGCAGTGTTCATAACTTAAGGTTTTTGCCATTACTTAGCTGGCTAAGTGGAGGCTCAGCATAAAATCAGTGTTCACAGTCAGCCTCTTGACCCTTGGTTCCTGCCCATGGTCTCCTGTGGTTTCTGAGGTGGAAGGTGTGTGGGTTCTGGCCTAGACCCGTGCCTGCTTGAATCCACCGCCTGGCTCCCAAGTGACCTCCTCCCTTGAACTTCCAGATCAGTCAGGATGTCTGTGATTTCTGTCTACCAGACCACTCTTTAGAAAGGATTACCATAGCCATTAGCTCTATTCGATTGTTGTCAGAGCCAGCCTGCCTGAGGAACATCACAACATATGGTGGCTTATGGTCAGCAGATTTCCCTGGGATACAGGCTTGGGAGAAGTCTCCAGGAAATGTCAGTATCTTGACTCGGAAGACTACTCTCAAACCCTGGCCATTGTGCCTGGGAAAGGGACTGAGGAAAAAAGATAACCATTCATGACCTCCCTATACTTCCAGAGCACAAATGCATCCCTGCCCAGTCTCCTTCCTGTGGGCATCTTTGTTTTCTCCCCATTTAAAAACCATCCTGTCTGATGTGGATATTCAGGTCTGCTGATTGGTGGTCCAGATCCAGAATGCTATAGAGCTTTGGGTTAAGTGTTCCTCTGTGCTCTCTCTGGCATGAGAGACCCTCCCCACCCCGGATCCAGCTGGCCAGCTTCAGGAGGAAGGAAACACCTCATCTGCCTCCTTGGCCAGGGCACATCAGTTGTGCGGCTCATGAGCCAACCAAGCAGAAGGCAGGTTGTACTTTGATCCAAGAGAGCGCACCAGTGTCGGCTGACTCCCCAAGATCATGCAGCAGTCAGGCCCTAAGAGACTGGAGTTAAGAGTCACCAGACAGCTCAGGCCTCAGGGAGGTGCCTTCCCAGCTAATGTTGGACTGGGTTTCTCTGTTCCTGAACTCAGGTCCTTTCATACAGGGGTAATCAATGAACTCTACTGACATTCTATGCAATGTTTTTCATTCCTCTGATTTTAGAAAAACAAACCTCACTGAAAATAGCAGAGGAGACGGGGTCGGGGTGGGGAGTTGTATACGCACATCCTGGGATTAGCACAAAGTGAAACGGTGGTAGTGACAAGATCTGGAGCTGGAGGAGCCCTTACCTTAAATGCACTATGACAGGCCTCTCTCAACGGCCCTATAAAATTAAGAGTCTGCTCGTAGCCATCCCAAGCCCCTGCTTTAAGCCAGCTGTGCTGGGGAGATGTAACAAGACGAGGTTCTGGCATGTATGGTTGACTGTTAGCTGTGTCCCTTCAGGCTGGAGGTTTGGCTCCCTCCTTGGATGCCCTCCCTTGTGTCACAGTCCTCATTGGTCCCTGTCTACCTCACTAACCCATGCTCCCATCACTTCTCACCCCACACTCCTCGGAACTGTTCGGCAAGTGGGCCAGGTGGAGAGAAAAGCTAAAGGGTGGCATTCATGATCTTGGCCTGGTAGGCAGGCATCTTCTCTCTCTCTTCTGAGCACAACGTAGACAGGCAGCTGTGCTCTGCGAGGCACATGGATTTTTCTGTTGACTTCCACCTGTTCTTGAAAATCTGTCAGCTGTTTCTTTGGCAGGCAGTGGCGGTCTCGGGCCTCAAAGGGCCTTGTCTTTGGTCTGCCTTTGCTTTCTGCCCATTTCTGCTCAGCTGTTAAGATCCATCACAGTCATTTTCCTTGCCCTGGGCTGCTC